AGGAAGGCAGGAAGGCAGGAAGGCAGGAAGGCAGGAAGGCAGGAAGGCAGGCAGGAAGGAAGGCAGGAAGGCAGGAAGGCAGGAAGGCAGGCAGGCAGGAAGGCAGGAAGGTAGGAAAGCAGGATGGCAGGATGGCAGGATGGATGGGTGGATGGATGGATTGATTTTTTCTAGAGGTGTTTTTCCGTCTGCATGAGGTTTCTCACGGGCGCCCTTTTGGCACGGCAGCTGCCGAGCTAGAAGTAGTCGGCAACGTCCATGGCATCAGCGGTGCTGAGCGCCGCTTCTCCAGTGTGGCTGGGCATCATGGCCTGTGTGTGGTGGCACGGTTCGGCAGCATTCATCTGTCACAGGTGGATCATGCACACGAGGCTTTTCTTGTTCGCCTTCATTTTGGCTGGGTTTCATGGCCTCATGAAAGGATTGGGACCTTGAAAGAGCGGGGCCCATAGAGCCTGGAAGAGCTTGCGGATTGGCTGGCCAAGGTTAGGGAGGTGTTCCCATCTGGACATCTGGTCGGGATGTTGGCTGCCAGCCGTGAGTGGCTGAGTAGCCTCCTGCTCGTGTGCGCCATTGGGCACAAGACAGATGTATTAAATACATCTGTTTTCAAGGCTGTGGGATGCCAAAAATGCTGGGCAGACCGGGGCGCATCTCACAGGCGGAGTATCCTCCAGCGCTGTTGGCGCTGTGGTGGTCCGGCTGGTATCCATGACCGCAGGATTGGGTGAGCTGCGGACTGCTGCTCGTCTGCATGCTTTCTTGAGCGAGGTGCTGAGGATGAGCCTGCCATGAAGATCACATGTGGCCTGCAATCCACAGGAGAGACAGTGGATCTTATTGCCTTTTTGCCACAAGCGCTGACTGGAACGCCCGCCACAGTCCTGGTCATGGGCCTCATCGGCGCATCTGCTGCGGAGGTAGGTCTGGAAACCTTTCTCTTTGGTGCGCTTCAGGATGGCCACTCCACATTTGGTACACTTGAGGTACCCTGCCGTTTCGATGCGCATCTTGGGCTGGAGGATGTTCTTCTTGGATTGCCGGTTGGTTCACGCCCTTTCTGACTGGTTGTTCCTCCGCCTGGTGAGCTTCTACGGCAAGTTGGCTGCAGTCGGCTTGCGGTAACTCTTCCCTGGTGGCCACTGTGAGACCATGGTGGACGCGCACCTGGCATGTTGTGCACTGATAACCACTGCGACGCTGCCTCCAACAGTGTTTGCCTTCCTGCCAAGGTTGGCTGCAGCGTGCAATCAAATGCTTCTTGCGCTGTTTCGCGCGCTTGCCTTGGTGCCGGGGCGGATACTTTGCAGGCGGGCAACTGCGTGCTGGTAGACCTGGAAATGGTGATCGTCCAGTGTGTTGCGCCAGTCTTCCTGCTGTTTGTTGTAAAGATCTTTGGCCCTCCCAGGCGGCAAGCCCTGCCTCCCTCTGGCGCCTTCGAAGGTGCACTTCATTGCCCGGTGCATCTGGAGTCTTGGTGTTGCGGCTGACGTAGAGAACAGTGAGGGAAGCAGAGTCCTGGAAACCATGTAGTTGGTGTGGTCGTGCCCAAGCCTGTGCTGTGGTGAATCCGGCAAGTGTGCAGAGGGCGGCAACGAGAGCCCTGCACTCGGTTTGTGGTCTGCTGGCAACGCCGGTCAGGGCGCCTTGCGTTGAAGCTGGCCCAGGTGCATAGTGTGGACACACATGCCGTAGACCCAGGCTTGGGCTGGATGGTAATACGACTGGCATCAACTGTGTACGCCCATCCTTGTTGCGGTTGGTTGCGCATGATTGGCTGACAAACCGTACAAAGGCAGCATGTCATTCAACAGGTCCAAGCGGGGTCCCATGAGCATCTCTTAACTGAACACACTTACGAACAGCTTTAGGCGCCAGTTGATTAATGAGCTTATATGCCTCGTACGTGTCATGGCTCGCCATGGCGTCTGCCGCATCTGCTCTCAGTTGTTGGTCTCGGCGTGAACGCCACTCCTGGGCATGTTTCTTTTGCAAGGCTTGCAACTTGTGAAACGTGCTGAACAAGTGCTAAACTCGAAAGATGCCTTTGGTGGAACAATCATTGTGGGTACGAATCTGTTGCCACATGGACCATTTGCGGTTGACAACGCCATCCATGCATGACCAGTCAGGATTCTTCCGGCCATGCAGCTCGGGGAAATGACTTTCAAAGGACTCTTTGCAGCATGAATCTGGTGCAAGGCGGTCGTCACGATGCCACTCGGTGGCAAAGAGCTGCTGCATGGGCCTGGGCTGCAAAGCTTTGCCAGGATGCTGCATCTGTGTCCTGTGCCCGGTGTGCATGTTCCCTTTGTGACAGCGAGATGTTGTTTGATCAAGAGGCAGCATACTTAACGGTGCTAGTGAAAGGGGAGGGAGCTTATAAGCGGGACATGAAAGCTAGTGGCTCCGGCAATTAGAGGAAAGCCAAAGTGTGGTCTAAATTCCTTGGCAACTGCATCTGCACAAATCGAACGGGTGAGCGCATAGTCAATCCTAGAGGTGATACGGCCGTTCGAAAAGGTGCCACGCTGCATGTGAAAGCAGTTGAGCCCTATCAAATTATTCTGTTTGATGATCTGAAGAGGAAGACAATGACCTCCACGGTGTCCAAGGTAAAGTGCAAGCAAGCGCCCTTCTCTGGGTGCAGGAGATAGGGTTGTAATGCGCGATGAACCACACAAAGATGGGAGTAGGCCCGGTACAGGAGGAAGATCGTGATCAAGGTGGTGTCAATGACCGGGTCCATGGGGTGCAAAACACGGTTCCGCACTACCCACACGGCAAGGTGGGCATCGTGGGTTCAGCACTAGTGGCCCTTGATGGATGGATGGATGGATGGAGGGATGGAGGGATGGAGGGATGGAGGGATGGAGGGATGGA